GAAGAATTAAAGAGTCGACGCTAACTGATGAGGTGAAGCATTCTTCGCAAACATCGGCCCCGATCGTCGTCTTGCCTGTGGAATATTAAGGAGCCTGCGCTGCGCCTCCTCCTGCAGGATCGCTCCGAGGGGATTTACGGTGTTTTCTGTGTGATTTCAGGCAGCCTCCAAATGACGTCGAGATGGCTTGTGGCACGCTTCTCCCATCTATTTCCACGTTTGCCAGCGGACCGACTGACAAGAGCAGATCCATAGGAGGTGCTTATCTGGTGAGTATACCCTACTGTGTGCCAGATAGAACTTGGGCATCAGGGGATCTCTTACAGTCCTCTATTTAAAGTGTGTTTATTCCTCAGTGTAGCTCCCATGTTATTACTGCAGTCAAGGCTTGACACTGCTGGGGCGTGCACCAGTTTATACAGGGAACCTTAGGCATTCAAACTGGGAAAGCACACATGGTTTCCAGCAAAACTCCTAGAAAGAATATTATTTGATTGCACGAAGTCTCCGAGGACTTATCTCAGCCTACTTATTGTTTTTTTTTGTGCTTTTCTTGTTCCCCATTTTTATACTATTTGAATCAATTCCATTATTCCAGCCAGTGCACATTCATAAGATCTTTTTCCTCCATCTGACTGAGCTGTGTTGCTCAGCGTTCATAAATATCCCCGCTTCATTAAATTCTTTCTTGAACTGAACTTGTCCACAAGTCAGTTTCCCTTGTTTTGGACTCTTTTAAAGTAGAGCAGGGCATACAATGGTATGAGTTTCTTGTTATTAGTGGTAACGCGACACAAACAAGCTTCTTATCTGGTCTCTGTAACTTATCTCCAGAAATGGAAGGAGGAGTTGTCCCATCTTAAGAGACCAAGTGTGCCAGAGAGAAGCAGTTGCTGCGACCCAGACCACCCTACAGCCACCAGCATAACAAGCACCAGCATGTCCAAGAAGGAGACTGAGCCAGATCTGGACTTGGACTATGATTTTATTTTGTCCAATTCCATCTTGCAGCAGCAGCAGCAACAGCAACAGCAGGAGGACGCCATGGGTTGCAGCTCTGCCCAGGCCATGTCATCGTCCCCAGGTTCCTTCACCTCATCTTACCAACTTCCTTCTCCTCAAGACACTGCCAGTGAGCTGCTCTACACCATCCCAGACATCAGTGACGTTTCGCCCTCTGGAGGCTTTGTGGCAGAACTCATGAGGCCTGATTTGGACCCAGCATACCTCCACCTCCCGAGCCTCCATGGCAAGTTTGTAGTCAAGACAACAATGGACATGGGAGAGTACAGCCAAAGTATGACTGTAGGCAAGGCCTGCGTCGGCACGGCATCGGACTCTGCTCCGTCGCGGGTCTCGCCGTCCTTCGTGTGCAGCCGGATAAAGCAGGAGAACCCCAGCAACTGCACCATATCACAGCCCATAGACCTGCACTTGGCAGGGGTGAACTCTCATGGCCGGGCAGGCCAGCAACAGCGCCCCAGCAACTTGGATCTTCATGCATTTCCAGGGAATGGGAGGACCATGACCAGCACTAGATTATCTTCATCCTCTTCCCTTTCTCCAGACAATCCTCTTGGCCGGGAGCATCAGTTGGGCCACCCCCTCTCTCAGATCCCGCTACCTCCGCAGGGGTACCACCATGGTACCTCTCAGGGCTACACCTCCTACCCTCAGGGCTCATCCATGCAGTACCCAGGTGACTGGCACACCACTTTATTGTAAAACCAGTTCAGCAGAGAGTTTATCTATTCAATGAATTCAATTTTAGAGAAGAAACAATGGTTTTGGCAATGACGACTGTACAAGCAAATTCTATCATCAAGATCGTTATTCTTCTATTGGTATGATATTCATGTTTCGTGGCGATTATGTTGGCCGTCCTTTCACCCTACAGAGGGTCTCATGATCTCCAGCGGGGAATGCTTGCCCGAGGAGCCGAAGCCCAAACGCGGTAGGCGCTCCTGGCCCAGGAAGAGGGTGGCGACGCACACGTGCGACTACGTTGGCTGTGGCAAAACGTACACAAAGAGCTCCCACCTGAAAGCACACCACCGCACACACACAGGTAGAGCTCCCTTTACAGTTTCTCCTTCTCCTGTTGCCTTTTACTTTATGAGGCATGCACATTGAATCCTCGCTCGTTAATCATGCTTTTTTTTTGTTATCTAGAGCTATTCAGCTTAAGGCTTTCATTGTGGATTTACAAAAAGACAGGCCACATCACTTGCACGTTGTTGAACAAACACATTCATGGAAGGGTGGGGGATGGACTAGGGGAGTTGCTTGTCAGGTGCAGCAAAACAGGTTGACACTGATCCCTGCTCAAATACAAGTGCTAGGCCTTTTACGGAGGAGCTGCAGGACAGGATGGACCTCTTTTTTTAGCTGGAGGTGGTGAAGCCAGGGCTACTTCAACCATCAGGGATGGTGCTAACTGCTCTCTCTGCGTGTATGTGTTTTTTTTATCACAGGGGAGAAGCCTTACCACTGCGACTGGGAGGGCTGCGGCTGGAAGTTTGCACGTTCCGATGAGCTCACTCGCCACTACAGGAAACACACGGGTCATCGGCCTTTCCAGTGCCAGAAATGCGACCGGGCCTTCTCCAGGTCGGACCACCTTGCTCTCCACATGAAGAGACACCTATGAGAGGCAGACAAGACGACAAAAGCTGAAGGCCACAGTATATATATATCTGTCTGCAGAATCCCAAACACTTTTTTTTTTTTTTTTTTTACCAAAACTTGCCTTCAAGCTGACATCGAGCAGCAAGACACGCTGTGGTGTTCATGGCACAAAGACAAAAAAAAAAAAAAAACGCATTACTCCTTTAAGAGCCCCTCTCACGTTGTGCAGGTGACTCGACGAGGCATCTCAGCCAAGGTTGTAAAACCTTATTGAAAAAAAAAAAAAAAAAAAAAAAGGGACCAAACTGGAATTTGTCTTATTTAACTGACAAAACTTGGTGGACCAGGTGCCAGCGGATTTTAACTGGAAAATTCAGGGAAACCAGGAGCAACAGACAAAGCATCTCCAGAGGCCTTCTAGCAGCGAGCAACACACCATCGCAGACTTTACTCCTAATACACACTGTTAAAACAAACTGTCTTAATAAACACAGTGATATTTATCATCCCATTTCACCTGCAAAGCCATTTATTTTCAGGTACAATGTTAATTTATACAGAATGGTGCTGAGTAATAGAGAAGGTTTCTTTTAGAAAAAAAAGGTACCAAAGATGATGGAAAATGGATTTTAAAAAAAAAGGGTGAAGCAATGAAATTAAAAGTGCCATTTTGTTGTTTGTGTTTTCTTCCAAAAAGTATGACTTCAGGTGAACACTTTCTAAACAGCGATGGCAATCTACAACGCACTGCAGCTGCAAAGTGCAATAATTTATATGAAACATTCGTATTTTTGTATTGAATGAATAACTCTGAACAAAGATTTTGTTTTTGTTTATAGCCAAAATATGTAATATAATGTTAAACTTTGTACATTTGTACATAAAATGTTTTGTTATTGTTTTGTATTTTACAGTATAATGAAATAAAAATGTATTTGAACTAAGAAAATCAAGGTGGCATTTATATTCTTTGCCAATTCAAATTTACGGTGAGATGCATGTGGTTACTCAGCGGTGACTCACAGTCGCATCCTGCACAACATAATTGTCCCATATGAAGACGCAAACCAGCACAATGTTGCCATTTAAGACATTTTCCCGTTTCTGCACGTTTTTTTCTTTCCACCTGTCACAGGAAAGAAAACGGGACATTCAAGGATGACAGCAGATCTGATTGCTGCTCTCTGCTGAGAGAATATGAATAAAAACACAAAGTGAGGCCAGAATGACAGTCTTTGTATTCTCATTTCTTGTTTGTACACTGCTGTGTGCATAAAACTGCCGTTTGAATGTTCCCATGTTCGCGGGTTGAGAGTCATTCAAACTGCAAGCATCTTAAAACATTTTTTTAATATAATCCAGTCCAAGAACAAACCAAAATGTGAACCTGAGCTGAAGAAACTGCAGTTAAATTGATATAACATGAGTTCGTAACATGACAGTGCAAAAAGAAATGCTGGGGAAAAAAACACTTCTCAAAGACTATCTGTAAATAAATACTACCTCAACATTTAGAAAAAACAGTTCTCAATGGAAAACAGATTTAGAACCTTTTGGTGCATATTAATATGAAAATTTCAAGATTATCCAAAATAAAAAATAACAGAAAATGAACAAACCATCTTTGCATCTACACAAGGAAGAAAATTCAAGAAGACAAATTAAACACACAAAAATGTGTTTATATATATAAGCATCAAAACAATTTACAATTTTACTTTGCAAATAGTGTACTCCAAGTTTTAACATGCATTGTTCCTATTCCAGATTATTTTTAATATTTTTGACTTGTTTACAGTATATTCATAGCCTGACCATTATCTTCCTACCTTATTCTGCTAGAAACACTTAACAAGGTTTTTCCAAGTTGGTATGCATGGAATTATTTAAAGACACTAATAATTCTACACAAGCTTTAAAAGGGGACAAAAACCAAGATGTAGTTAAACTAAATATGAGCTTTACCCATGCTGGGACACTGAGCATATAGTATCGACATTCATTTGTTGCATATCTTCATGTCGGCGCTGTTAAACGTGAAACATTTTGTGGTCTATGTTGCCCTCTGCAGGTTTATTCAGCTAAATCATCCTGATTTTTACAACAGGAAATGCTCTCTGGGTTGTCTCTTCATTGGAATTGATATAAGGGAAGGCAAAAATATCGTGAGTTGCATTTGTAAAATTTAACATATATTATGGTGCAAAAATAAAGACAAACAGAAGGTGACACACATGTTGCTTGATTGGTTCCCATTTAATTTTTTTTTTCCAAGAAGCAAATGAATACTGGAAGGACCTCTTAGATTTGCCGAATTATTTGCAAACAAACAATTGTTCTTAAGCTATAAAACAAAAGGCACATAGTCATACTCTGATGCAAAAGTATTGGATTTTAATCACTACTCCATCGTAACCTGTTAACAACAGCTCGTCCTTTTACAGCAGCTCCCAACTGAGAATTATCCAGTGTTATCATAAAACTTTGATTTGGAACCGGGGAATAAAATACACGTTGGAAATTAAAAGGCTTATTTGCAGATATACCGAACATGACTAACAAAACAGTGGAAGAGGAAGAGTGAAAACAACAACAAAAAAAGCCCGTCTCCTTTAATCGTCGTCAAAGTTTTGTTGTAAAAGGAAGTTGGCAGCCAAGTTCTCATTCTTATCACAAGCAAAGTAGGCTTGGATGACGAGTCCTTCTGGAAAACCCAAGGCTTTTAGCTGGATGGAAAGCAAAACGTGAAAGTTAGTTTCACAAAATCTGTAACGTCCATCAACCTTTTCAATTTAAGCTCCAGAGTTTTTAGATTATATTGTCATGGTCCACCTCACCCTTTCAATAGCTTCTTTTTCCTGTGGTGTGACCTGGATATAGCTCATCTGACCCCCACCAGATGAGCCACCTCCCACTCCTCCAGCTCCACCCAGTCCTCCTCCACCACCTGTTGGAGCCGAGTCTGGACTTGGCTCATTCAGCATCTGGATGAACTGTTCTTGGTGGCTGCTGATCTCCTATCATTCAGTAGGAAAAGTTTATGAATAGGTTATTGTTGCAAAGTGAAACGCAGAACAGAGTTCTGCTTTAATGTGGCTGTGTGGAATCTATTAGTGTGATAAAAAGAAAACAGGTGAGTTCAAACTGCTGATACATTTTTTTGTGCAATAAAAAGCTAAATTATGTTTCAGTTCTATTTAACATTTTGCTCTCCTTTGACAAACACACTACTTTTGGTTAATTTATTGCACAAGCTCCCATTAAAACTAACTGTAAAAATGTCCATGAGGCTTAGTCGTCTCTGGCGAGCCTCTTTGCCAAATGTGTCATTAGAATACTTACTTGACATTTTAAACACTAGATATAGTAGACAGGTAGATGAGTAAACTGTCATTTTGTTAAGACTTCCCGATAAAAGTAAACAGGTTTTTTAATCTAGAAGTGAAATATTGTTGAGCTCTGGCTCTTCCTCACTTGCAGCAGCTCTGGGTTCTCCCTGCCGATCTCCTGCAGCAACGTTGGAAGCAGGGCAGGATTCTGCTGAATCAGCTGCCGCATCACCTGGAACTGAGGCTGATTTCTTAGGAAGTTCAAGGGATTGGCTGGAAGTGGAAATTAAAATTGTAAGCAACAAGAAAAACTGGCAAAGAAAGCATAGTGACATGTCTCATTTGTTTGTGGAATCGGGGTGTTCCATTTACTTCCTGCCGCAGCACTTGGTGAAGATCCAGTGTTGGCAGGAGTGTTAACGCTTCCGGGGGGAGGAGCTGGAGCTCCACTTGATGGAGTCGCCGTGGTATCAGGTCCTGGTGCAGGACTCTGATCTCTGGTTGACACACCCTGTGGAAGGAGGCAGGCCTCTAGTAGATCAACAAGAAGCAGGATGATGCTCTCATATCTTGATTAAGAAGTACTCTGTAGGAGTGTTAAGTATTTTCTGCAAGTGAACACTAAAACCTCTGTCAAACTGTTTCCTATTTTTCCATGGATGCAGACGCATTTGAAAATGGACTTTATATGGGTTTGTACAACAAAAAATTTATTCCATTCTGTGAAACCACTTTTGTCAAGTGTACAAAATGCGTGTGTTGGGTTTAATGAACCCCTAGCTTGCATTATTGCAAACACTGCTAATCTACCTCAATGCTTTTGCCAATCCTCTTTAAATGTCTGTCTGTAACGTTACAGTTGTTGATATGATCTTTGTCCATTATCATAACTGGAAGAGCCGGCTTGGACAATCTCCTCCTCTTTTCATCCAAGAGGAGGATGCTCTTGGATGCTCTTCATCCAAGAAGTCCCTTTTTAAACTCCTCTGGGTTTTGGGCTCATAGTTCAGGTATTATTGATACCTGAACTATGACTTCTTTTAAATCGCAATTAAAAACACACCTGTTTAGAATTGTTTTTGAAATGTAATATGTAACAATGTATTGTCTATTATATGTTGCATGACTTTGTGTTCTTGTGTTTATGATGTAAAGCACTTTGAAATGCCTTGCTGAAATGTGCTATACAAATAAAATTTGATTGATTGATTGATTGATTATTTAAACTTTTGACATTCTAATGAGCTAGTCCCAGCCTGGGGAATAGCTCATGGTTATGCATAATCACATCTACCTGAAAGTAAAACAGCATAAACAAAAGCTGTTCCAGCTGCACAACATCCAAAGCCAGAGGGAATAATTCCTCTGGAATAATTCTCCAAAAAAAGCAATGCCACAGCCAGAAAAAAAAAAAATTAACAATAGGAAGAAATCAGAAATAATGCAATAGAGCTCCTCCAACATGCTGCCACAGTGAGTGGCACAACTGCAGGATTAAATGGAATTGCCTGTTAATTTAAATCTTATTTTAAAAACCAAGGCGTTACTGCATTTTGTGCTATATTGTATGTCTACAAGTTACTCATCAAGTGTAACGCTTTTGACATTTCCCCAAAAAATAAATACTAAAAAAAAAGCCTTTGGCAACCTGATTTTTTGGAAGCTAAAACTACATACTTTAGGTGAAAAATATTTTAACACTGCGATGAAATGGCTTATTACCTCCTCCTTGTTCTCCAGAGCCTTGCTAATGAGGTGAAAAATATTGTATTTTTCACCTAAAGTATTATGTTTTTGTGTGCTATTGAAATAGTAAACCCACAGAAGTGTGAGTGGTAGGAGACTTTTATGAACAAATATTTGGGGCCTCTTGTAAAGTTTTATAGATAATCAAATTGTCTACAAAACAATGATATGAATGTGATGTAAAGTTTGAAAAAAGCCTTTCACAAAGTAAGCTCCAAAACCGCAAATTTCACACAGAACCATGATCTTTTTATCTGTTAAGTGATGTATCAATCTGGTAATATGATTAAAAGCGCATTCATTTCGACCACAGAGCTCTTCATACCGACAGCAGGTATTCCACAGCCCTGTCAGGGTTGTTGAAGCTCGCTCTCAGAGCTGCCACCACTTCTTCTCTCCCGAAGCCCAGAAGCATCATTTCATTTACCATGGCATCATATGACGAACCTGTCACTGAAGGAATGAGTAGACAGTCGCCAATAAAGCAACTGAGATTTATTGTCACAGTGCAGTCAAATCTTTTCATCTCTAGTCTTTAATACAAAATTTAAAAAGCAAAGACACAGCAAGAGAGATACTTGTTTCTGGGAAGCATAAACATAACTCCTTTTAAACAATAATACTTGAAAATAAGTATTATTGTTTAGAGGAAATCAGAAAGCATTGTTGCTCTGCATTTTCAGACATGCAGGTCCACAGGATTCACTTCGAGGCAATACATGTTGTAGAGCATGAGGACATGTAGACGAGTGCCTAGCGTACATCAGAACAGCTAACAAACATCTAGACATATAAATAAAGTCTTACCAAGAGTTGAAACAGCTTCATCTATCAAGTTTGGTGAAATATCAGAGCTTCAAGAAGAGAAAACAAAATACTTAAATAATATCTCCAAAACATATTATTGAGTGAATGTCTGATCCTTACCCGCTACTGCCACTACTGGTGGAGGATGGTTCAGAGCTTGGTGGCGTCTCCTCTGGTTTGTCCTCTGACTTGTTGTCGTCGGAGGGAGCCGGCTCTGATGGATTCTCTAAACTAGACAAAGCTGCAGGAGCGGCTGCAGGAGGAGCTGCAGGAGCGGCTGCAGGAGGAGCTGCAGGAGCTGCAGGAGCGGCTGCAGGAGGAGCTGCAGGAGGAGCTGCAGGAGCCGTGGAGACGGGAGCCGAAGTGGTTGATGAAGTCTGTGTGGTGGCTGAGGCCATTTTGGGCTGGAAGAAAAAAAAATTAAATCATAGGCCATAAAATATCTTTGTCAAATGACAGCTGTTATTATGATCGAACTATCAACTCTGTTGTATTTTACATAATTGTGCTGCTCCAAATCGACAATAAATAGTAAAATATTTTTTTCTGACTAAAGTCATTGGACAGCTTTAATCCTAAAGCTAAAGCTGGAATACCAGTGTGATATGGTACAATATTAATTCAAAAAGATAAACACAGCAAGTTGGAGAAATTTTAAATTATGAACCTTTGTCAGCATGAGCACCACAAAGTTCTTCTCATCAATCTTGTACTCCTTGAGAGGCGTGTCATCATTTAAGATTTTACCTGCCAAAAGACAAAACAAATAACACCTATGAAATGGTGCACGTTTTATATGACTTGAACCTCTGCTGAACAAAGACTCAACTATATGATTTCTAGTTAGCAAAGGCATAAAATTCAGGATTTACATTGAAGTCTAAAATTCTACAGTCCCAATACATTAGAAAAATATGTGAGTATGCAACATTGTTTAACATAAATGGATAAATCTCAACATACTACTTAGCATTACTGTAGAAAACAAAGCAAATGTAGCAAAATATGCATCACTTGTATAAACAAAGGCCTCTTAAAGTTGATTAAACTGTTAACAACTTAGAGACTTCTCTAATTATGCACTGATTACAGTTCATAATTAGAAAGAACTGTGGTTACAGTTCTTTCTTTTCACTAAATGAAGCTGACCATAATCCATCAAATCAATAGGTGAAAATAAGGTTGCACACGGATCATGGGTAGCTTCGTTTAGTGGGGGAAAAAAAATCTGTATGAAGAAACAGCTTTCGAACCATTAAGCAGAGCAAAGCTCGCCTGAATGTGCTGAGGGAGCTTTGCTGTAGTTCTTCACACGGGAAGAAAGCGAGAATGAGTTGAGAGGGATAGGTAGGCCATGATATTGGATGGTGGGTGGAGTCACAGTCACGGCTCAACTTGTCTGCCATGGACAGACATGATGTCATTGAAGCTTCCAAAGTTGGGTCACGCTGAGGCGATTCTCAGTGAAACACCGAGCGAAGTTAGAAAAAGAACAGCTTTTTTTAGTGACACAATTGTTGTTTCCTCTGCTCTTAACACTTGACGCAATCAGCTTTTGACTTCTTGGTCACTCTGTTCTCTTGCAGCTGCAGCTTTTCAGTGGGATTTCTGTCTTTGTACTGACTTACACATACAGAAATCTATGTGTTAATTCTGCCGCACATTTTAACTCATTGTCCTTTCAGTTGTCTGGCAGAGTCAAGCAGATGTATATGCAAAGTCGAGTGGCATCTCAAAACGTTGGTGATGCTTTCTATGTTTAACCAAGATAAAACGTTCTTTAAAAAAGTTTAGTTCTTTAAAAATCACAACAAACTTCTTATAATGTATATTTATCACATATAAGTTAACCTTTATTCAAAAAGTCATGTAACATTTGCAACTCTAAATTACTTATTTAGGGCAAAAATGGCTGTTTGAATTGTACATTTGCAGACCTCTTCTTTCCCCCTCCATATTTAATCAAACTTGGAAAAAATAAAATCCCATATTTTTCCAGACGTTCACACATCTCTACCAAAGACTCCAAAAACATGGAAGGTAATGCATGAAGACAGTATCTGATTTTATTGATTCGCACATATCATACCAGCATAGATCAATTTCTGTGCTGCAACCAAAAAGATGTCCTTCCCCTTCTCCTTTTCAATCCTCTCTTTTAATGATTTCACCTATAGAAAAAAATAAAATAAAAAACGTTAACAATGGTGGTCACATGTGATGTTGCACAAGTGTTTACAACCCTTAAAGCATCCTGTTTAGTTGCTGTGAGTAATAAAGGAAGTGAGTTCTCATAAAACTGGTTCCACTAACCAAACTCCCTGGGAAACATCACCTTCAAAAATAACGGCTTTCTTTTGAAATTGCCACAAAGACCCGAGTTAAATCCAGTTTAACATACAAATTGAAGATAAAAATAGTTATAGTTTCCTTTTGGTGACATTAAAAACATTACGCAGTCTCCGTACGTGAAAAAATAACATTATATAAGCTCACCGAAAGTAAAAGTTAGTAAGTAAATCATTTCAAACATCATCTGGAGCATCACGCGGGCTGCGGCTAATTACTGATAACACAAGTCACTTTTTCAACATGTACAAGTCAGTGACTTTGACTTGTTCAAAAATTATGACACAAATATTCAAAGCCTAAGTGGGAATTGAGGACAAATACATAAATAACATGCCACGAATTTGCGCAGACCTACTAATGGATGTGCCTGTTGTGAGACATTCCAAAACTGTTCTCGGCTCCAGGACATACCCCACTCCCACTCCACCCCCCTTCACTTATATCTGTATCTCTCACCGTCTCCTCCTCATCGATGTCAATTTTAAATGTTTGTTGTTGCAATGTCTTCAGAGTTATCAGCATCTTGTCAGTCGAGCTTTACCCACCGGACTGGCTTAAATCTAATCAATCCAACTTGAAAGACTCCACTGTTTTTTTTCGTTGGCTCATCACAACCTGTCAGCCGCCATGACTTTTCGGTTCTCTTCTTCGAGTGTTACACATCGTGCTTATGGTCCCCCTAGTGGTTAGATGGCGAACAACATCCTATGTTGTGTTGGCATTCAATTTGACTCAGCAATTGTAATATTGATGCACTAATATTTTTATTCAACTGTGTTAATAAAATACCATTTTTATTCACTCTCTTTTACAGCTGATTAGATATTTGGTGACAGTGTTGTTGTCCGTGATTATATAAATACAACTTATTTAATTTGACTTAAAGTCTGTGGATCAACCTCATTCATTCAGCACTAAGCTTGAGTGAAAATATTCCCCTCTACTTACACTTTGTTTAAAACAAAAAATGCTTGCGGCAATTAATTTATTTCAATACAGAGTAAACATGAACATTTGTACTTGAAGAGTAACGGTAGGCATCACGAGTACAAAGTAGTATTATGTCAGTTTGCTGACTTGTGGGCAACATGGAAAAAAGGCTTGTGTCTATGTTTGTGTTGCAGTAGAAACTGATGAGAAAGTTTCTACAATCACAACCCTTCAACACTTGTCAAATCACCTGCTATCACTCAATATTCAAAGCTTTTATGTAATGCTGTTTTTTTTTTTTTCAAAGTTGTTGCCCAGTGATCACTTTAGGAGGCCTGCTAATTCCAAAAAAATTAAATAATTGAGGTGTTCTGCAATATTGTGCAGCCTTAGTCAATCTTCATCTCCCACTTCTCTTTATGTCCTTCTACGTCTCTTTGCATGGCCTGCTCTTCACGCATCTTGAGATCCTTCTCTCTACACAGGCTACCCCCCTCCCCCTCCATCACATTTTCACAGAAGAAACAGTGGTCTCACTGGCCTTGGCCTATGCATCCTCTCATCCTCTCATCTGCTCCACTCGGCAGCTGTACTGTTGTCCTCTTTTCGCCTCTCCTCTTCCTCTCTGTGACTGTGTCTCCTGCTCCTGTCTCCAGGGGTCGTCAGTCTGCCAACGGCCTCCTCTGAGGTAGAGAGCTGCAGAGATTACAGTCTGATCCCTGGTGACTCAAAGATATTTTTAAGAGATGATGTTAGACATGTGAAATAAAGACCCAGCCCCCACCACCCCGCGTTAAGCAGGCAGAGTGGGGAAGGACATCAAAATGAGAATTTCAGTGAAAAAAAAAAAATAAAAAATCTAAACAAAAAGAAACTGTCCACAGACTTCCCGAAACCTCGAAGCCGTTTTTCTGAAAACATCTGCTCTGCAGGACTGCAAGTGTCTTGAACAGATACTCAAAAACATGCATGGTTTCAGTCAGCATGGTTCTTGCAAGGTGTGGGGAGTAGTTCAGAGGAAAACAGATGACTGGAAAGGTGTAGTCAATGAAAGCTACTGACATGCTTTCTCATCCAAGCGTAGTGACTATTTACCTATTTTATTCAGTTTCCATCTACCTATCCTTCATAATATTTATAGCCATTAATTAATCTACAATACATCACCGTAGATGGGTATTTAGCAACATAGAATACTTTTAAAGAGAATGAAAAATTATAGCAAGAACATAAATCCTAAAAGTATTTTCCTTAAACAGGCCACAATAATATGAGGACCATCACTGAACCATGGGATGGCTGTTACATGTCTGCAAGTCTGGTCTTCCCCTCTCCTCTCCTGTGTTCTGAAAATCTGTTATCAGTTTGAAATTCTCATGTAAATAACTCGATGCAATTAACCGCATGCACAGAAAAAAAGCGGTTTGACTAAAAAAGGTTTCACAAAAAGATACCGTACGATTCTTGCTGAATGCACCACGAGTTAATAAACCTAGAGGAACTGCAGTAACACAGAGCAACTGGGGATCCCAACCTTACAAACATTTAAAAATTAATAAGAAATTATGTTGAATAAAGCATGATGAACTCTAACAAGTTTTATGTTCAAGATTTTGATTGCTTAGTCATATACCGTCCTTAGAGGTGTCATGGTTGATTTTGCACAAAACCAGGATGTCACAAGGTGACAAATAAAAATCATAGAGTGCATGGAACTCTTTACAACATGAAACCAAGAACAATTTTGAATTAGTCTAAATGTAGATGCACATGTAGTAGTGTATGAAGGTTTGCTTTTGCAACTATGCTCATCATTTTACCATGTTTTTCAATTTATAAATGAGAATCCAAAACAAAACCACAATAATTCACTTCTGAGACCTGCTCAATGTGTGAACCATTCATTTCTAAATTCAAATTGGAGACACTGTCTACAGACCTTACCCTCAAAAAGAAGAAAACCAAAGTGACTTTTTGAACATCCATGACTTTTTGAGAATTTCTACACATTGCAACCACAAATGTCTGTGTATTTTATTGGGCTATTATGTGACAGACCAACACAAAAGGTTATTACTGCAAGACATTGTTTTCAACATTTGTTTAGAATAAAATAATAGACTCCAGTCACAGGTCTGATAGCCCTAAACAGAATCCAGTGCAACCTATTATCTTCAGATGTTTTAAGGTCAGTGTAAACCCAGCTGCTCTGTGAACGCCTCATAGTTTTGTAGAACATTAGAGATCAAACAGCATCATAAAGACCCAGGAAACAGCAGGCAGGTCCGGGTGCTTACTGTTCAATCCAACATCAGAAAATGGGAAGAGTATTGACTAACTAGAAAAAACTAAACAGATCAAAAAGAAAGTGATTAAAAAAGAGAACAACTGTTTTAGAGAGCCATAAAGAGCACCATATTGTGGTGATCATTTTCTTTAGCAAGGACAGGGAACCTGGTGAGAGACGATGGGGACAAATATAGGAGCTTCAATCACCTTTCAGTCGGATGATCCTAAACATACAGACTGGAGTTTAAGTTACAACATATTCATTTCATGTTAGGATGGCATAGTCAAAGTCGAGACCTGAATCCAACTGAGAATCTGCAGCCAGACCTGGAAATTTCAGTTTACAGATGCTCTCTGTTCAAGGCTTTGATTTGCAAAGACTAATTGGCAAAACTTTCACTCCCTAGAATTGCAAAGCCTTTAGAGATATTCTCCAAGTCTAATTCCATTCTCAAAGGGAAACTTAGTTAAATCAGGAAACGATGATTTAACTAAATTAATTATTTTAAAGTAACGCCAAACCTCATCATAAGCTTTAGTTCTCCTTTGTGTTATTTCCAACGATACGACATTTTACAGGACATTTTAGAGCAGAGAGGAAAACAACATTCAGTATTCTGATAACTTTATTATCAAGTTAAAAAAAGACATTGAATTACAATATTTACAGAATATCCAGAGATAAATGGAATAAAATTGTAAACAATCATTCTAGGCAACATCACAACCCACCATCAGGTAATCAGATGTATATAGGAAAAAAAAAGGCAAGGAGAGATTCTAGTTTCAAACTATGGAGACAACAGTCTGAAAAGAGAAATGCTTTTGAAACAAACTAAACATATATACAAGTATCCAGTGTGTCTTCAGCAGGGGCGGGGACATTTGGTAAACTGGGGATTTTTACAGTCTGGATCCTGAACACAGTGAAGGATTCATCAAAGATCATCACAGAACAACAAACTATACCAGGCCGACAGCTTCATGGCCACACTTGTCCAGACTCATCCTCTGGTTCACACCGGGCTGGGCATTAAAACTGTACTCCTACGACAACTACTTTCAACTGGCTTTTCCCTTCTGGGAGGGGAGACAAGTTTGTTCTGCAACACGGGAGAACAGCTTTGAAAATTGAGCACCAACTCAACTGGATTTAAGTTATTTCAGGAACTGAGGAGCAGATCAGGGCTGCTTTCTTCACTTCTTGTTGACTGGAAAGATCATGAGATTATGAGCAAGTAGGCATGGGCTAAACAAATCGTCAGCATTTCTGTTAACCAAGAGAACACAGTGGAGACGTGGACCGGCTACATCTATAGGCTCACAAAAAAGCCACATGATGGCAAAGCTCAGAAGAGGACTCAAGCAGTTCGTGCTTCCAAATGGACTATTGCGTGCGTCATCTCTTCAATCGCCACAACGACATCCCTGCCCGATTATTGAGAACTGCATAAGTTTCCTTTCATGCTTCCTTTCTACTCCTCCGCTGCACAAAAAAAGCAACCAGACATTGTACAACAGCTCGATAACGTTGGAATTGAGATTCAAAAGTCTCGAAAGATTATCTTCATGTTTTTTTTCTTGCCCTGAAAAATAAAACAAAATAAAACACCCAAAGGAAAACAGGGTTGATTAATCCTTTCTGAAACACCACAGTTCACACACTTAACAAGGAGTTGTGTTTTCTATACATGGCTGCAAATATGTAGCTTTCCTGGGTTCCTACATGTTGAGCTATAATTCAAGGATTCTGAGGTCCAAACCTAGAATTCACCATCTCCATTGACAGTTCAATGCAAATAATAATAATAATAATCATAAAAAGACAAGTACAGCAGCAAACACAGCAGGCTTCATAAATATTTTGGTACCGAGAACACAGCCACATCGGTTGTGCTCCTGAACAAATTTTAAAATTAGAGCTATCCGCTGTTTTTTTTTTTTTTTAAATCACAGATTGTTCACCGTTTCCTGTCGGTTTTACTCAAATTGGACACGAATTGAACAGAATCATTGTCTCATAAGGCTTCAGGGCATTTAAGCAGCAACTTCCAACAAATACAATCTCTGCTTTTTTCAAGATCAACAAGATAAACCATTGTAAAATAATAATAATAAAAAAAACAACAGCACACTACATGTTTATCAACACAGAATAAGAGTTTGACAGTATTTTAACAGTATTTTTTTTTACCTCATAAAAAGTCTGGAACTTTCTGCTTTGCTTACACTTGTCTTTTCTGTGATTTTTCTTTCCAAAACTGAACAGGAACTGCTCCCACCTTAAATTTATTAGATTAAGGACTTGCAAGCCAATTATTTTTAAAAAAGGAAACTTTTTAGGCATCTAAAAAAAAAGAAGCAAAAATTACTGCTAATGAAACCCCAAACGGACAAAATGTTTCAGAAAATTTCTCTTTCA